ACATTGTGTTAATATGATAGTGTTATTAACACAATGTTTTTAACAAGCTAAGATACTTATAAGAAAGGACGTTAGTAAAATGGGTGTTAATGAGACCACTTGTGTGTGGTCTGCTCTAGAATTTGAAAACTATAGTTTATTCTACAATAAGTTAGAAGAAACATAGAACACCTTCCTAAGAAAAATGTTAACAGGAATAATGTGTGCAAGATCACCTATTTTTAGATAAATGTTGGATGATGACGACACAAGTCTCTTGAGAAAAGTCAGCTACGTTCTGTGAGTCACCAGCTTTTATCATTTACATCCTCCAATTTGTACTTATATCAGATGACTGGTTTGACTTTGGTTTCTCAATTTATGGAATATACGCCTTCAAAACGTCCTTATTTATCCTTCCGAAAGAAAGGAACAGTCATCCTGTCTGGATCATTTTATGACCTGGTGCTGAGATTTTATATAGATCGATGTTTACGTCAAAAGCTGCTTGGATTCCCGTGTAGTACCCAACATGGCCGAATAGACATAAAGACAAACATCAAAAATAAAATATTATCACTATCTTTTGGAGGATTGAAAGTCGTAACCAAAAGTTGATGGTCTGTGATCATATTTTACCAATATGATTTATTCATTACTCACAAGAAAAATTTAACATTTATTTACCAAGTTGGACCAAAGCATTTTGTCTCTAACTTTAGTATATTCTGGGAAACTAAATAGTTTGGAAGGTAGTTTGGTATATTCTGGGAAGTTAAGTAGTTTGGAAGGTAGTTTGGTATATTCTGGAAAGATAAATAGTTTAAAAGGTAGTTTGGTATATTCTGGGAAGTTAAGTAGTTTGGTATATTCTGGGAAGATGAGTGACAGAGCTGTATACCTCTTACAATGAAGAGTTTGAGGCCGTGTCTTCTTTAAAAGGCTTCATTACTTCACTACTTGCTTCTTGCTTGTTGTGAAATCTTACAATAAACGTCTGGTCAACTTGAAATAATCGCTTATAACATCTTGTCTGACTAAAGATGGCGTAGAGGAAAAAAATGTGCATTACAAAAATAAAAAATTCTATTACATCATCAAATTCCATGGGTTCATAAACGTTAGTATACTAGTACATTAGTCATCTTTTCATGATATCTATAGAAGCCTTTTCGAAAGGCTTTAAAATAGACAATATCCTTTGACAGATGTTGGTATAAAGTAACAAACTTTTTACTGTGTCTGTACCTTCCAAACTATTTAACTTTCCAGAATATACCGATCAATCTCGCTATTGGGCTTGAAGTCGTTGTTTCGAGCAACGGCTGCTGCCAGCTAGTTGTTTGTCGTTTTGTCTTGGAATATGCTGGGAAGTTAAGTAGTTTGGTATATGCTGGGAAGTTAAGTAGTTTAGTATATTCTGGGAAGTTAAATAGTTTGGAAGGTAGTTTAGTATATTCTGGGAAGATAAATAGTTTGAAAGGTAGTTTGGTATATTCTGGAAAGATAAATAGTTTGAAAGGTAGTTTGGTATATTCTGGAAAGATAAATAGTTTGAAAGGTAGTTTGGTGTTTATTTAGTAAGACAAATAATACCGATTCACGTAACTCATTGTTTATTTAGCAAGACAAATAATACCGATTCACGTAACTCATTGTTTATTTAGTAAGACAAATAATACCGATCCACGTAACTCATTGTTTATTTAGTAAGACAAATAATACCGATCTACCTAACTCGTTGTTTATTTAGCAAGACAAATAATACCGATCCACATAATGCATTGTTTGTTTAGTAAGACAACAAGTATCAAAACTCAGATATTGTAACTAAAGTAACTATGAATTCATATAATGAATTGTAAGTTTAATAAACAAGTTATAAAATACTGAACTTACATAACAGTTTATGTTCTTAGTACGTAAGGTATGAAACTATAACTCACAGTATGATTACTTAGTAAGACAACACGAAAACTAAATAATATATTTTACATTTAGTAGGTAACGTTCCGTGCTTATCAAGTGTCATTCATTTGGTGGAGTCAGAGCCAGTTATTAGTGTTATATTTGGTGGATTCAGAATCAGTTATTAGTGTTCTGTTTAGTAGATTCAGAGCAAGTTGTCAGTGTTATGTTTGGTAGATTCAGAGCCAGTTATTAGTGTTATATTTGGTGGATTCAGAGCCAGTTATTAGTGTTATATTTGGTGGATTCAGAGCCAGTTATTAGTGTTATATTTGGTGGATTCAGAGCCAGTTATTAGTGTTATATTTGGTGGATTCAGAGCCAGTTATTAGTGTTATATTTGGTGGATTCAGAGCCAGTTATTATTGTTATATTTGATGGATTCAGAGCCAGTTATTAGTGTTATATTTGGTGTATTCAGAGCCAGTTATTAGTGTTATATTTGGGAATTCAGAGCCAGTTATTAGTGTTATATTTGGTGGACTCAGAGCCAGTTATTAGTGTTATATTTGGTGGATTCAGAGCCAGTTATTAGTGTTATATTTGGTGGATTCAGAGCCAGTTATTAGTGTTATATTTGGTGGATTCAGAGCCAGTTATTAGTGTTATATTTGGTGGATTCAGAGCCAGTTATTAGTGTTATATTTGGTGGATTCAGAGCCAGTTATTAGTGCTATATTTGGTGGATTAAGATCTGGCTTTTGAATCTGTTATGATAAGTTTGGTGACAAATTATATTACCTATATTTAGTAGACACCTATCTCGGTGATGATAATACTTGTTTACCTATAGCGACACAATAGTTGTGTCTCTCTAAGGATAATTTGAGCAGAAGTGACACACGTAACTCCGCTGATTTGTACTTGAAACATTTTCCCTATAGAAACCACATATAGAATTATTTCTTAACTAAATACAAGGCATTAAAGGAAGAATGTGCTAAATGTTTGATATTAAATTCCGACCAGATCAAAAATAAAAATCAAATCAACCTGAAAGTAATTTTAGTTAACTAACTTTTATGTTATTAGTAATAAAGATTAGAGCGCATGGTTTTATCAATTAGGTAACCTCGCTATTAGCGATATTTTCGGCCGTAAACCCAATAATATCTCACGAAATTCAACCAGCTCAGGTGATTAAATAAAATAATAAAACGAAGATAAACGTTTTTTACTTGCACAAACCTTTAACTGTAAAGTTAAAAAATTAAAAATATACAAGTTAAAAGAAAGTTAAAACTCCACATGTTTCGGTGTAAATAATTACACCATCTTCAGGAGAATAAGGAGATTTAGGTTATTCCTAAACCCATGTTTACATTATTCTATAAACACTTTGTTTATTTA